TAAAGGGAATGGTGAAGCAACGAGTGAGAAATTGGATAATATTGAACTTGGAGGATTCTATAAGAATTTTAATGACATAGCAATTTATGCGGAGGCTTACGAAGTTCTGGGGGAGTATAGATGCGTTAAGGAGTGTAGAGACTGGGGACAGTGGAGACTCTGGAGTATATGGACTCTAGGTGTTATAGACATTTTAGGAATGATGGAGACTCTGGGGACTAGCTGGACTCTACCATTGGTACTAGGACTCTGGGGACTGTCAGAATTCTGGGGATACCATGGGTACTGGAGACTACCAGATCTCTGGAGCTATCATGGGTACTGAGGACTGCGAGGACTCTGGAGCTGCCATGGGTACTGAGGACTACCAGCACCCTGGGGCTACCATGGGTACTGGAGACTACCAGATCTCTAGGGCTACCATGGATACTGGAGACTACCAGATCTCTAGGGCTACCATGGGTACTGCAGACTGCCAGATCTCTAGGGCTACCATGGGTACCGGGGACTACCAGATCTCTGGAGCTACCATGGGTACTGAGGTCTGCCAGATCTCTGGAGCTATCATGGGTACTGAGGACTACCAGAACTGTGGGGATACCATGGTTACTGGAAACTATCAGATCTCTGGAGCTATCATGAGTACTGAGGACTACCAGATCTCTGGAGCTGCCATGGGTACTGAGGACTACCAGGACCCTGGGGCTACTATGGGTACTGGAGACTACGAGAACTCTAGGGCTACCATGACTCTGGGTACTCCCTGGACTCCGGAGGCTATCAGGTCTCAAGGAACAATGGGGACTCTGTGGATCACCAGGTCTATGGAGACCACTAGGGCTATACGAACCACTAGGACTATGAGGACCTATAAGGACTACGAGCACAAACACGTCGGATTAACATTGTAGCTCAAGCAACAGAAGAATTGTAAAAATTTTTCAAAAGTATAGTGTCATATCAAATTCTATGAACTTATTTTACAAAGCCTTGTCTTAAAAAAAATACCAGTCAATTCAATGTCTTATGTTAAGTTAAGTCAGCCCCATACTTCGATCCTGAAATCAAAATGTCCTCTAAACAAAATGGCCGCCTCCCACGACTCTTAAACATCATTCCATTAACATAAATCGAAACAACCTAAGAAAAAACCAATTTTTCTAAAGTGCCACGATGAGTCACCATTTTCCCATCTGAAACGTACAGCTTGAACCCGTGTCTAAGACCGATGAAGAAGAAAGGAGAATAAACTGTGAAAAAAAGAAAATATCGGGCATTCCGTAGCTGGAGGCGTATCTTCATCGAGTGTCTTCTAGCAAGCTGGGAGAGCAGCCGTGTGAAAAGGGCTTTACGTGTGCGAATCGCCGCCAGCGGAGACGCACGAGGGCCTTCTTTTCCTTTAGACCTGTACTTCCTCTCTTATGCAGGCTACCCCAACACAAAGCGGTGTTTTCTACGCGGCACGGAGCCACGCTGTGCAAGGTCTCTCGCGTTCGTTCCCCTCCCTCTGCCCCTAACCCCTCCCCCCTTCGCATCGCGCATCCACGCTGTTTCACAGTCGTCGTTCCTCTTTCTCGTTCGCCCATTCTTTCTCAGGCCCTCATCGTGCCCTCTCGGTTCCTCACCTTGCCCAGTCGTGTATTTTTTTCGCCTATGCCAGTGGCGCTCAACTGGTACGCAGGTGATACGTTATACGATACTTTTATTGTCTATGGAGTCATTTTACATTCAAAGGTGCGGGCTCTCGGTAAATCCCCGCTGGATAATTTCATGTTGGTGCTATTTCATTCTTGTTAGTATTATCTTATGGTTGGTTTTATTTCACACAAATTACCATGCGAGTTCTCCCTTCAAGGTCCATTTTCTACTACTGTCTCTAGAGCCCCAAAAGCAGGCAATTATCGAGCATGTAAAGTGTAACCAAATAAAAATTGATTCAAACGAAACAGTTCTTGTAAATTAAATGTTTTTTTTTATTGAATACTGTTAATTTTTATTCTCTCCAATTATTCTAAAACAAAATGGACGTGTTTTTCTATGTATATCTTAGTGATTTAGCGCTGCTTTTACGTATTAAAAAGTGGTTGAAAACCGCTGGAATATGCGACCGTGTGCATACACCGGGTGTCGAATGGGAATAGATTTGCACCGATTACTCTAATTAAGTATAGGTGAATTTGTAAAAGGGGACTTTATTCAAATGTCTTCAAACTGGGCGGGGTTATAGGAGCGTGTTGTCTACAATGCATTCATCGACTGAGACAAGGGGAATGACTCACCATTTGCATTATTCGTCATTGTTCAGTGCATGAAGTTCAAGGTTAACTTAGGCGCTGCTTCGAGATTTTTGGAACAAATTTCTGGTTTTGAACCTTGAATAAGTGACGAGAGCCCATAAAGGGAAACCTTGCCCTAGGTTCTCCCTAGCGCAAGTTCAGGGACTCCCCTCTTAATCAACGGAAGCCAGTGGCGAAAATATACTTCTTCACCGATATAGCGAGATCATAAATTCCACCCTTGTTGAAACATGACTATAGGTCCATATAAATTGCAGTTTCCTTATAAGACTACAGTTCCGAGTTTAACGATTTTTCGCATGAAGGTAATGGGTAAAAATCCGCGCGAAACAATCGCGGGTTTTAACGGGAGGACCGCCTCTTGGCAACCGACGACAGCTCCCACGAATCAGACAACAATAGACGAACAACAGCAACACCTTGCGTACCGGCAAAGTTTTCGCGTGTGCGAAACAGCATTACCGGCTTTCGAGTTTCGCGTCGTGAGACACCACCCCGTATAGGAGGTAGTGGCGGCGGTACACAGAGGGGCCGGGTGTATCGTGTGTCGATACACTAATACACATCACACAGATGGTCGCAGAGAAACGGAGAAAGGGTGCCAGACAGAGAAAGGGAAAGAACGAAGCAAGAAGAAGAAGAACAGGAGTAGTCGAGTCGAGTCGGCTGTTGCCGGCTGTGCGAGCTTCTCCCTCCCTTCGTTCTCTTGCCATCCCTCCCCGGCTTCGTCGCCCTACCCAGCATGGTCGCTTCAATCACCCCACGTCCCTCCGGCGAGTCGACATGTTTCCCCGTCTGACCCCTCCGCACCCTAAGGCTGCGTTCACAATACTAATTCTACATCTTGGGGGTGCTTCCATTTCACGTATGATTCCATATATTTCATGTGTGATTATTTCATATATTTCATGTGTGATTATTTCATATATTTCATGTATGATTATTCCATTTATTTCATGTATGATCATTCCATATATTTCATGTATGATCATTGTATATATTTCACATATGATCATTCCATATATTTTACATATGATCATTGTATATATTTCACATATGATCGTTCCATATATTTCATGTATAATCATTCCATATATTTCATGTATAATCATTCCATATATTTCACATATGATCATTCCATATATTTCACATATGACCATTCCATATATTTTATATGACAAGTAACTAACTTTACATTACAAGTAATTAAGTTTAAGGACCAAATTCTATTTGTGGGTAATATTTTCAGGACTTAATTACAAGAATATAATTGAAAAATATAGGATTGAAGAATGGTAGGTCTGAGGATGTGTAAGAGTGTGAGGATTGAATGTGGTGATCACACTATTTGAGAAATTAATTACAAGAATGTAATTTAAAAATATAGGATTGAAGAATGGTAGGTTTGAGGATATGTAAGAGTGTGAGGACTGAATGTGGTGATCACACTATTTTAGAAATTATTTACAAGAATGTAATTTAAAAATATAGGATTGAAGAATGGTAGGTTTATGGATATGTAAGAATGTGAGGACTGAATGTGGTGATCACACTATTTGAGAAATTAATTACAAGAATATAATTTAAAAATATAGCATTGAAGAATGTTAGGTTTGAGGATATGTAAGAATGTGAGGATTGAATGTGATCATGCTATTTGAGAAATTAATTACAAGAATGTAATTTAAAAATATGTTTATTTTAAAATTTTTAAATTTGAAATATATATTTTAAGTATAATTTAAAAAAATATATATTAAAATGCTATTTGAAAACTTGGGAACTTGGAGTGTGTTTAAAAGTGCAAACTTGGGACACCACGTGACTGAGGCAGCCATTTTGAAATGAGGGACTATACATGAGCATCACAATGTGATAAATTGAAAATGTGACAATTTGGAAGTGTAGAGATGTAAAATATAGATGAAAAGTTTATGAAATAAAAAAATTTGAAAGTATCAGAGATGAGTAATTCTGCTGAAGTGAAAACAATTGTGAACGCAGCCTATAGCAGCCGAGAGTCGAGTGGTCGTGTACGTCCTCCCCTCGTGTCCCTCGCCCATCGTCTCCTTTCCCCCTCTGATTCGTCGTCTCGCTCTACCCCTCTCCGTCCTCTACCCTCGGCTCCTCTCGTGGCGTGCCACGACTCGTGGCGAAGTTTTAGCGTCGCCTACCTCTACTCGTGGCGTGCCTACAATTCTTAGCCGGATCTATTACGCGCAGTTTTCGTGTTCGCGCGACGTTTCGTCCTCGCCAATTCGTTTTCTCTGCCCGTAACCTTCCTTTTTATCCAGCCGTTCGTCATCTGTTCACATATTTTTTTTTCGTAGCCGAGCGGAGTCAGTGTGTAATACGAGCCGAAATAGTGAAACGGTTTACGATTTTTTTTCACCACGCGGGTGTACCGGAAGAAAGATCTCGCCGGAAGTAACCCCCCACCAGTGTGCTGTAAGTGGCCGATCCGCGCCATCTCCTAACCTCCAAAAACGTTTTCGCGAGGCAAACCGCTGTTTCGTGACAAGCCAAACCGGGCAGCGGCTGCATCCTGCTCATCCGCGTGACGTTGTCTTCGATTCAATATTCAGCAGGCGTTCGCGCGTTCGTTCACTTCGCTTCGGTTTGTGCGTGGAAATCATCGATCTCCGGTTTTTCGCCGTTTGTGAACCGATAACGTTTTATTTGGCCTGTGCGGTTTTTTGTGTATTGTGCCAAGGATACGCCTCCATCTTTACGGAATTACGTTTTGGATACGATCTTCTCTGCCCGCCCGGTCCTACCGTTCGCACGGTGAGTAACGGAAATTGTTTTATGACAAGCAAAGCCGAGCTCGCGACGATGCTCGGCGCGCGCGTGCTCCGAAATCCGTGAGTGTACGCGCGTACCCCACCGTCTGTGAGTTTCAAGGGCGCATGTCCAACGACCATTCGCCGACGCTTCGTTCAAACGTAACGTCTCTTTTCTTTTTTTTTTTCGCTCACAGGTAACTACGCCGTATTCGCATCGCCGTGTTTTTGTTCGTGGCGCGGCGTCGTTAACCCGCTCCGTTTTCTCGCGCACGATTGTCCGGCAACTTTTGTTCGCGTCTAGGTCACGATTACTGGCGTCGATCCTGGAAATCATAATATTTGCTTCGCTTCGGGTGTTTACGTTCGCGCGCTCGTCATTCGTTCACACACGCGCGCTTCGTTACGCGCCAAAACTTTGCCGAATTTTTACACCGGTTTCCTTTCTTACAACTTTTCGAACATCGATGTTTGAATCGAAAATTAATTTTGTCGATAATTTTATCGATAATTGGTAGTTAAGTCTGTAATATCGTACATAATTTTGTCACTCGATTTTAATGTTTAGATTGTCAACATTAGGTGGTTTGAATCTAACCTCTTTACTTGACAGATTTAAATGACAAGTATGAGGTAAACATTAAAGTTTAATGAACAAATTTAATTGGTAAAATGTTGCGTCGTGGGCTTTCATAAATTTTCTCAATATTAGATGTTCATAAATATTAAGATACATAATAATAAAATATTAAGCTACATAATAACAATAAAATATTAAGCTACAGTACTCGACAGCCACGCGTCGATGTTTGAATTTCGCGCGCTTCGTGCAACGTTCAAATTCAAACGTTTTTTAAACGTTTCAATTGAAACAGAGTCTAAGTAATTACAGACAGTATCTCAATTATATTTTATGATGAATTTAAGCTTATTATACAGTTGAAATAATACCCAGGTATTCTGATGACTATAATAAATATTAATGTTGGCTCGATATCTATGCTCTGAAACTACTATACAGCGTGTGTATCATTTGTATCCAGATCTTTATATCACAATGCTCTACAAAATGCTTAATTTCTTGCACCACTGCACAACTTAGTTTACGAATACAAATTTAGCATTTGCTCAACCATAACGTATATCTTTCCAAGTAGATTTACGATTGTACCATCATTTTCGAAGTCTGCCAAGTGTCAAATAAATCATGTTGACGTTAACAATTCCTTCAAGCATGCAAAAGTATTCGACTTTACAAATATACCGACCACTTCCTCCTAAAACTCTCTCGTAATCCTCGCCCGTGACCAAACTACCTTCTTACTTTCTCGATTTCCCTTACGAAACAGCCTCGGTCTTTGATGATACTAGCCTTGGTATACTACCATTATAGTTTTTTTGTGCAATCATTAGATCACTCTGCGAGTAATGTTCTTTCTACTTTACTTTTGTGTATCTTGTGACTCATGTCGGAAATTAAAAAATTTTTTAGGTTTCTGGTGGTTAGATTCTCAAATTTTATAAATTTTCTTGCTTTCAGATTTCTAAGAAGGGTCTGTATATTATTAAATGACAAATCTAGTATATTGCCGAATTTTCTATTTCAAGTCTACTATATCGCCAAATTTTGAAACTACTAAATTTTAGGATCTACAAGATTTAAATTCCTAAAATTTGTAAATCCAAACTATTATAATCTAAAAATTTACATATATCACCGAACTTTCTATATCGCCGAATTCCCTATATCACCAAATTTTGGAACCAGCACATTCTCGGATCTCCAAGACCTAAATTCCCAAAATTTATAAATCCAAACTATTATAATATACAAATCTACATATATCGCCGAATTTCCTATATCTCCAAATCTCCTCTGTCCCCGAATTTTCCACATACTTAAAACTCTATTTTCGAATTTCCTGCATTCCCAAATTTCTTATATCGCCGAATTTCTTATATCACCGAATTTGCTATATTGCCGAATTTCCTATATCCTCGAATTTCACACATTCCCAAAGCTTTATTTTCGAATTTCCTACATCTCCAAATTTCCTATATCGCCGAATTTCATATATCGCCAAATTCCCTATATCGCCGAATTTCCTACATCCCCAAATTAAATTTCTACCTTCTCAAACCCTCAATCCCAAATTTCCAAGATTTTCAAATCCTAAATATCCAAATCCCCAAATTTGCTATATTGCCGAATTTCCTATATCACCAAATTCCCTATATCGCCGAATTTCTTACATCTCCAAATTAAATTTCCAACTTCTCAAACCCCCAAACTCAAAGTTCAAAAATTTTCAAATCCTAAATATCCAATTCCCAAATTTGCTATATTGCCGAATTTCCTATATCACCAAATTCCCTATATCGCCGAATTTCTTACATCTCCAAATTAAATTTCCAACTTCTCAAACCCCCCATCCCAAAGTTCCAAAATTTTCAAATCCTAAATATCCAAATCCCCAAATTTGCTATATTGCCGAATTTCCTATATCACCAAATTCCCTATATTGCCGAATTCTCTACATCCACAAATTAAATTTCCAACTTCTCAAACCCCCAATCCCAAATTTTCAAGATTAACAAATCCCAATTATCCAAATCCCCAATTTTGCTATATTGCCGAATTCGCTAATTTCCTACAACCCCAAATTTCTAACATCTCTCAAATCTCGAACTCTCAATCCCAATATTCCCAAAATTCCTAAATACGAAAAATCTCCAGACTCGATTTTCCGAATTTCCGTTCGCAGAACTACAAACAGGTCTAAGATCACCGGACTTATCGTAGCATTAGGGTAGTATACTTAACCACTTACTCGTAATCCTCTTTCAGTCCTTCTTTCAGGTCAGTTCCTACCGCAAAACAGTCCGAACAGAAGGCCAGAACTGATCGATACTTTTCCACCCACGTGGGCGCTTGTACGAGGGTATTGGACCCATTGGTTAGCGTGGTCGCGTACACGCGATGAGTTCGAGGAACCAACAGACACAGAAGTCGCCGTTTCCACGATAAAGCCTCGTGTAACTGTACGCTACGAGGGCAGCATTTTTACGCCCACTACACACCGAGTAATCACAGATATCGTGGGGTCGCTAATAACAATTTAATGGGTCAAAAGCGGACGAACGCCCCGAGATAATTCTGGCTAATTGACATCGCCGATATCGTGCAGCATTAACGAACAATCAAATGGGAGAAATTTATGAATGAACAGTTCATTGGCGATGATTAGAATTTCCATGAACTCACTTTGATAACGGATTTAACAAAAATTTTCCAGAGGTTTAATTGTTAAAGTCACGGGTTTGTTAGCGGTTGGTTTGTTAATTCAGAATTTGGCAAAAATGCCAGAAATTGTCTCGTTATGCTAAATGATCGTGATTGAAATAATTAGAGTGGAATTAATGAAATATTCCCGATAACGGATCATTTTAAAATACGTTTAACACCTTGTAATTAATGAACGATGTCGCGGATGTTTTGCGCGATCCCCAGCAATTTTGGAACGCTAGAAATTCATTTCGGATGCTATTGAAATAAATAGAATATTCAAAATATTACACGCGCACGTCGAACGGTGATATCGCAAATTAATTTAATACATTCAACGCGATGTACATAATTAGTGACTTAATTGAATCTCTGTATCCAACTAAATTAACCTCGTTAAATAAAAACATTAATTGCTCTTCAAAAATTCGTTAAAAAAATGTTCCTTTTACTCGGCGAAAGATAAATAAAAAAATTGCTCGCGTATGCGGGAAACTTTCGGATCTCTGGATAATTAACGGAACAAAACCTAACAAGTTTCGACACACGATTCGCTGAGAAGTTTGCTTTCAGTTCGCCTAGAAATAGTTTCGATTATTAATATCGTCCAAAATTTCACTGGAGAACGGAGTATCTGGCAGCTACTAATTTTAGACAGTATTTCCTTAGCAGGTGCTCGTAAAGCAACTTCGACATCATTTTTTTATGAAGCCGAAGCTATAAAGCGGACGAAAGAGTTAATTTATTTCTTTATTCGATGAACACTTTGACCACTGTTTGCTTAAAAAATCATACAGTTCATAATAAAAGTTAGAAGTTCAGTTTTGAGCTAACAAATTCAATATATTACTATATGTTACTATTTGTTGTGTTATCCGCTACTTCATTAAATTTATTAGCTGTGCAAGAAAAATAAAAAAAAAGGTCCAAAATAAATTTCAAGTTCCTCTCTAAATAATTGCAATTTTTGCCCGAAAATATCTATCAGGGTCTTTCCAAGAAAAGTCGATGAAAACCCTTTGTTCGACCCATCTGGGTCAGTCAAGAATAATGGACAGTGTTCAACACAAATTTGACCAAGGTGGGCTCTGTTTTGATCGAAAATTGAGGGGGCGTTTGTTGCAACCGCAATTTACCTCGCACGAAGACGGTCGATGTCGATCTGGCTCGCAATAACGACGCCATTGTCAATAGAAACTGGCTTTAAACCGGCAATCAGAGCGTACCTTCCTGCAAGTTAAACACGTTCGCATCGCGTATTGCGTTAGAGCGGTTGTCGGCCAAAGAAACTCTTTGTACGTAACAGCCTCTTCGACGATTAGAAACTGTGTCTTTTGCGTTGCTTTTCACCAGGCTTCTTCCTTGACGAGGAATTTATCGGACGGAATCGTGAAACAATTGTAGGGACCTCAAAATATAGCTTGGATGTATATTTTATGTTTGTTAGGTCAGTATTTTTGTTTGGGAAATTCGTAACTTTCGGTTTGTTAGTTTTGTTGGCTTTTTTTGTTTGTTGCGGGTAGTTTTCGTGTGTTGTAGAGTCATTTCTAGGGTTGTAGGCTGTTTTCGGATGTTGTCAGCCATTTTCGTATATTTTCGACCATTTTTGGACGTTACCGATCATTTTTGGACGTTAGCAGTCATTTTTGGACGTTGTCGGTCATTTTCGTGCGTCTTCGGCTATTTTCGTACCTTCTCGGCCATCTTCGTACGTCTTC